TACTTAAAACATGGGCTGGATTTATGGGGAATAAAAGCATTAGGATAAGAGAAAGGAAAGGAACTTGGAATAAATACCCAGAAAGTTTGGAAAGTTTTTCTTCAAGAAGAGATTTCTGTTAATTCAGCCCATAAATTTAGCTTGGGCTCATGATATGGAAGGAGATTAGAGTTTGTGGCTAAGGCGAAAGCTATTATTTTAAGTTACAAAAAAATTAAAAATATAGGTCATAGTACAACAGAAAATGATACATTCTAGTTACAATTTTGAGGCTAAAACATAAAATCAGAAATATGCCCTTTTTTACATACTTTGAAATTGTGTGTTCAAACTTGAGGTTTGAAAAGTGTGGGTTATTTTGATTCTCAGTATACTTGGAGCAATAAGATAACTCATGTTTCTGCATGTTTAAGGCATAGTTTGAGCTTGTCCAAATGACATTGGTTTAAAACAGAATTGCAAGACAAGTCGGTCAGGTCAATTAAGGAAAAAAAAAAGAGTAAATCTTAAATTTAAAACAAAAAGAGGTCAATCAATGCCTTTGACTTATTTGACTATTTATAAAGCTTTCTAGACTATCAAGCATTTAAAGCAATTGAGTTGAGTTATGCATTACCTTCCAGTTCCATGGTTCATGGGGAGAAGCAACACAAAAAGGAAATTCATATTTTCAGTCTACCTTGTGGTGATAGGCAGATTTTAAACTAATTAGAATAATGGTAAATGAATATTAATCCCAACTGACTTTTTCCTGTGTTGCTTGAGACATATGTTTTCAAATTTAAGCAAAAATGATGACATTTTTTTCCTATTAATTAGAAGAGGATTCTTTTTGAGAGAATGGTTTAGGTTGGTACTCAGACAATGGGATAGATGAGTGCTGAGCTCCTTAGGTTAGCAATCTCCTGTGCTGTCTGGCTGTAGAGGCATCTGGGAGACCCATCTCCATTTTTTTATTTTTTTTAATTGTGATTTGGGTAAAAGTTTACAGAGTGAATTCACTTTCTATACGGCAGTTCATACATATTTTGTTTCATAACATTGATTGCAATCCCCATAACGTAACAGCTCTCTTCTCACTTCCTCCCTGTGGTCACCTTTTCCCAGTTGTTATGCATTCCTGCCTTCTGAGCTCTCTCCCTGTGCAAATACTGCCCTTCTGATCTCCCATGATTGTTTGTTCTAAGGAGTGTACCTACCTGGTGTAAATGTTCACCTTATATGCCTGTCTCTTGTACAGCTGGAAGCCACAGGAGTGAGTTCAATTCCAGGCCTGAAGAGTGACTAGGGCCCATAGTCTCAGGGATTTCACCAGTCTCTATCAGACCAGTAAGGCTGGTCTTTTTTATGATTTTGAGTTTTGTTCCACATTTTTCTCCCACTCTATCCAGGATTTCCTGCACTGACCCCTTTCAGAGTGCTTGACAGTGGAAGCCAGGCACCGTTTAGTTCTAGTCTCATGGTCATATATCCTGAAGTTCACAAGGTCCACTAATCCCTTGGACTAATTGTTTCCATGTGTTCTTGGTTTTCTTTATTCTTCTTTGCTCTGGACAAGGAGAGACCAATTGTTGCATCTAGATGGCCACTTGCAAGCGTTTAAGACTCCAGTCGCTACTCACCAAAGTAGGATATGGAACAATGTTTTTGTGAAGTATGCCTATTGAGGTTGGTGTCCCCCTACGACCATGGTCCCGAGCCTACAGGTCCAATAACTCATTCCCTCAGGTAGTTGGCTTTGGCTAAGAAGTTATCATAACTTTGCCTCATACTAGTTCTATCTATATGGACATTCTTACAGCAGATACAGATATGTATATAAAGTATCACCTGCCAAACGTGTATATATATATATATATATATATATATATATATATAAGACTCCTCACTTTTGCTAAAGCTCCCCCCACAGGCTGGCACACAAAGACTTGTTCTTTTGGTTTACAAATTTACTTCTTTTAAGCATTTAAATACCTCTGGAAAGAGAAACATTTTCCATTAACTTTCAAAGGGAAGATGACAAAAATGTGATCTGAATGCTCTCCCTTGATGGCAGTCATGGATAATCAACCTTGGATTTCCTTCCCATTGTGCCCAGGTCCTAGAATCCTCTCTTCAGCACAGATGTCCAGGAAGCTTTCAATTGATTGCAAGTCAAAACCTACTCGATGCTCCTGATTTATATCTTATAAATGAATGAGTTTATAAAATCCTTGAATGAGAGCAAGTTTTGAGAGTGAGAAAGGAAAGAAAGTATAAAACTCTGGACTTAAGAGAAAGATTTTGAAGTTACCACCAAGGGCTGGTATATAAAACTTGTCTATCACATTCTGCAGAGTTAGAGGTGCCACATATTAAACATCTACTATATATCACATACCATTCTTAGCACTTTGTGTTCATTATGATCTTTTTTACTTTATGTCTGCCTTAATTAAGGCTCTGTGTGTGTGTGTGTGTATGTGTGCATGTGTGAGAGAAAAAGAGATCTCAGCTTTACAATCAAGGAAACTGACACTTGATGATATTAAATGACTTGTCTAAAGTGTAAGAGCTAGGATGTACAGAGTTATTACACAGATCTAACTGAAGAATACCTTCAATTCAATCGTATACTCTGCAATTTTCTATACTGTTTCCAGAATTATGTGGAATTAGATCAGGATATGTGGCATATGAATCTTCTCAAAGCAGCCTGCATATTCAGAGCCACGCTCCTTAGGGACACAATTCAGCATTGATTTATGTGGACTAAAACTTGAAACTTATATTTGTTCAACTTTTGTTATTTCCACCTAATGAATAGTAATACAGTTCCTTGGAGAATATTTAGATCATGATATTTTCCCAATGTGGATTGTATTTAAATTTTCCTTATGAGTTTTCTTCTGATATATTTGGCTGTTCATAGTCACAATTAAATTTTCCAATTTCATTGCATATACCCACCAGCCACTCCTTGGAAGGAAGGTTGGGCGATCTACTTCCGTAGTGATACTGCCTCGGAAACCCAAGGAGGGGTCGCTATGAGTCGGACCGACTCGACGGCACATAACAACAACAACAGTCATCTGATAAAACTAAATAAAATACTTTGAAAGGGGCTAGTTTATAATAAATGCCTCAAAGTGAATAAATAAAGCACATCACTGACAGTGGCACAATTATTGGTTTTTAGGGAGAGTTAGATTTGAATTTAAGTAGTCAATGCAATTTTTAAAATTATTGATTATGGCAGGATTTTTTACCAGATTAAATTGATTATGTATTAAATCACTGTGTATGTATCTAGTAACTATGGGGGCATACTTTTCAATTTATTTTCAATTTCATCTCACCTGTTAAGGGATTGTTTCAATCTTCATTTAAAATCAGGAATAACATCTATTTCTATAGTGATTCTTCTATGATGTCATGCTGTTGCTTAAGGAAAGCCCATTAATGAGTATTGAGCAACTACTATATGTGCAACATTATGCATTTGAATACTAGTTAGAATACTGAAAAAAAAAAAAAATGAATGGTTTCTTATGTTGAAAAATCCTCCCATGTCTTCTAGATCATCCTCTAGTGCATTCCAAAGTGTCCTTTGCTAAGATCTACCACAGCTCAAATATGTCTTCTAATGTTCTTTCTAATAAAAAGACATGTCTATACCCCTTAGGTTCCAGGCTTCTTCTATATATATATTAAAAAAAAAAAAAAAAGACCTCACTGCCGTGGAGTCAGATCCGACTCATAGCAACCCCTCCTTAGGTTTCCGAGCAGCATCACTATGGAAGTAGAAAGCCCAGTCTTCCTTCCGAAGAGTGGCTGGTGGGTTTGAACTGCCGTTCTTCTATATGGTTTACATTAACTCACTGAATCCTTACTGTTGTTGTTGTTATGTGCCATTGAGTTGTTACTACAACCCTAAAAAGTTGTATTATCTCCATTTTATAGTTAAGAAACCTGAGGCATAACAAGATTAAGAAACAAAACCAAGACCAACATCCCATAGGTTGTTGAGGCAGGCTTTGAACTCAGCAGTCCAGCTCTGAGTCAGTGCATTTAACTACTACACTCAGGTATCTGAACTAGAACCTCTCACTGTAACCCAAGCAGGAGCAAGTTAGTATCTGAAGAGAGAAAGGCATGAGTGGTGAGAAATGGGCAAATAATCCTTAAAAGAATAAATAGAATCAAGTATGAGATTAGATATGGAATCTGCAGAGAAGAGGCACGCCAAAGAACCTCCAATGATGCCTAACTTCAAAAACTGAAGAAGTGATGGTATGCCACTGGCCAGTAGGGTATTTGTGATGCGAGGTAACTTAGGGAAAGTAGCCATGAGTTCAACTTTGACCTGTTTATTCTGATACGATGGTGTCAACTCCACACTGATGGATATGACACATGGTTGTGATATAATGTCAAAATAGACAGTATGGCATGGTGGAAAACATAGGATACCAAATGAGAAGACCCAAATTCAAGCTCTGGTGCCATTGCTCAGTAACTCTGTGACACCATGAAAGTTTCTTCACCTCTCTGAGCCTCAATTTTCTTCCTGTGAGAGAATTTCTATTATTATCACTGCTTCTCAAGGAAGTTCTGAGAGTTGAAGTGGCATGCTAACCTCTAACAACTAATTAAATGCAAGATTGTTGTTGTTGTTGTTATGTGCCGTCGAGTCAAACCCGACTCGTAGCGACCCCTCCTTGGGTTTCCGAGGCAGTATCACTACGGAAGTAGGATTGCCCAACCTTCCTTCCGAGGAATGGCTGGTGGGTTTGAACCGCCAGCCGTCTGGTTAGCAGGCAAGTGTCTTAGCCACTATGCTCCTGCCTTCTTCTCAGCAAAATCCCTCACCCACCTGCTCTCCCTCTCATGTGTCTGCCCACACATTACACTCAAGCTGGTGTAATCATTCAGTGTAGAAGAATAAAGGATTGACTTCAGTACATCTGCTGGCATCTCCATTGTCTTATGTTTGCTTATTTCTGGTTCTTGCCTTGTAGTTGCTCCGCTCTGCTTCTGATTGGTCTGCTGGTATAAAGTACCATGAAGAGTCCATCCACGCTGCCTATGTACATGTGATAGAGAACAGCAAGCACTATATCTACATAGAAGTAAGTCCTGCTAGTGTTAATTGGAGTCTTCCCATAAATGTCATACAGAGACGGCAGGGTCCCTTAACCCAGGACCTGCTGTATTAATATATGTATGTTGAGATATTAAGAGTACTTATACTCTCCCACCTACCTGTAATTCCCTCTGCATTTTTGCTGGCTCAAAACTGTGCTGGGTAGCCCCCAAATCCTTGTTATGAAAATGTATCAAATCAGCTTGTATTCATTATAAAATATTTTCACACCCTGGACTTTGTTCAAAGTAAGAAGAAAATCTGGGGAAATGGGCTTAGTTTGTAACTTTAATTACATCTCTGAGTAGATATAAAAATATTTCAGAGAATTTAGAAAACATTGAGAAAAGAAAATGTCATAAATAATGGAAAAAATAAATCAGAATATATCTCCCTTCTTATCTTTTCATTCTCAATGATTCAAAAATCTTATTTCCTTCCCTTTGAGTTCTGGCCATCTCCCCCTCCATGCAGTGACCATTCATTAAAATCAAGTGGAAAAGAATTGCAGCTTCATTTATTTTGCAGGGCTGGAGGCAGGGAGGGATAACTGATAATACTAGCAAGTTCAATGTGATGTAAGAAGAACCTTGTTGGCATAACAATTAAGTGCTCGGCTGCTAAACCAAAGGATGATAGTTTGAACCCATCCAGCAGCTCCATGAGAGAAAGACCTGGCAGTCTGATCCCATAAAAATAACAGCCTAGAAAACCCTATGGGGAAGTTCTACTCTGTCACAAGGTCACTGTAAGTCCAGATTGACTCACCACCACCTAATGTCAACAACAACAAATGCAATATAGCATCCTGGATTGGATCATGGAACAGTGAAAGGACATAAGTGGAAAAATTCATGAGCTCCAAATAGAGTCTGCAGTTTAGTAACACTAAAATTAATAGTTTTGAGAATTATACGACAGTAATGTAACAGCTGGCTCCTGTATTACCCAGAATCACTTTGCTTCATCTCTTTTTCATAGCATTCATTTCAACTTTTCTGTTTTAATGGTTCTACAATGTTAAATGCAATCTTTAATTCATGCCGTGTAGACCTGGTTGATTGACGTTACTCACTCCTGTGTAAATGGTCAGCAGTCACTATGCTCCTCCCAAAAAAGGCAGAAGTGAAGGAATGACATGTGGCCTATGTGTATTTATAGCTGCTGGGGAATGCTAAGATTCTTTGTAAGCTTCTCTGTAATTTGAATTCAGAAAAATAAGTATAGTTTGGTTGTCACCCCTGAGTTTTTGATTGTTTGCACCCTAAACATTCTGCACAATGTCTTCCTGTGATGTTTTATAGATTTATGTACTTCTGTGTAAAAAATTCTATAGTTATAAAATGATATGTTACAAAGCATTAATAATCATACTTTGAGACACTGTTTATGTATCTCTTCATGTTGAGTGGATTAGCAGAGGTTATTTTGTGAGTGATGAATAATGTTGTTGTTGTTGATAAGTGCCCTTGAGTTGATTCTGACTCATAGCAACCTTATGTACAACAGAACAACACATTGACTTGTCCTGCATCATCCTTAAAATCCTTGCTATGCTTGAGCCTGTTGTTGCAGCCAGTGTCAATCCGTCTCATTGAGGATCTTCCTCTTTTTTGCTGACCTTTTACTTTACCAAGCATGATTGTCCTTCTCCAGGGACTAGTCCCTCCTATAACATGTCCAAAGTACATGAGACAAAGTCTTATCATCCTCGCTTCTAGGAAACATTCTGGTTGTACTTTTTGCAAGACAGATTTTTTCATTCTTATGGCAGTCCATGTTGGTTTGTGATGATTATTCTTATAAATTACTAGTGTAATGTAACTGTGGTCGTTAAGGTTGTGTGTCATCTTGGCTGGGCAGCTGGTAGTAGTTATTCCCCATGATGACACTGGCAGTCAGCTCCATGGTGGGATCTACCACAAGCAGCTGAGTAGCTGCTTTAGGAATGTGATCTGCTTCCCGTATATAAGAAGCAACTTTGGGAATTATTTCTACTTTTATGACACACTTGACCCTGCATGTAGCTGAGTCATTGTTCAGCAGCCTGCCATGCACTGCTGATTTGGGGACTTTCAATGGACTTGAATTAGTGGCCTGCTATGTTGTTTGGTAACATTGGGACTGTGCCTTTTTACTTGTCAACCTTGGGCTTGGCAGCCTCAGCAACCAGCAGCATCCAGTTTCAGTGGGCCTGGAGCAGGAGGCAAAGCCTCCAGACTTTAAGAGAATAAATTCCTGTTTGTTAAAGCCATCCCATTGGTGGTATTTTCTGTTAGAACAGCACAGAGGTAACCAACACAGTGACAGTGTGTATAAATAGAACATATAATATTTGTAAATTTGTTAATTTAATTTTTAACATTCCTTTATGGAGCAACTAAAGCTTACACAGCTATGATGATGATGTTGAACCCTGATATTCAGGGTTTTAATAGTTTTCAAGAATGTTTTATAGATACATGGATAGCAGAAGTAATTAGAGAAAAAAGGAACAAAAATAGGTCTTTTTCCATTTTACTAGTTTCCATTTTACTAGTTAGGTATATATTTATATATGCCTAACATACCTACAGGAGTTCTGGTAGCATAGTGCCTAAGGCATTTGACTGTAACCAGAAGGCTGGCCGTTCAAACCCACCAGCCACTCCTTGGAAGGAAGGTTGGACAATCTACTTCCGTAGCGATATCGCCTCAGAAACCCAAGGAGGGGTTTCTATGAGTTGGGTCCAACTCGACAGCACATAACAACAACAACAACACACCTACAGAAGGGATTTGAGGCTACTTAAAACAGAAATTGCACCTCCCATCTGTCAGTTTGTTGTAATGTGGTGGCTTGTGTGTTGCTGTGATTCTGGAAGTTATCCCATGGTGTTTAAATACCAGCAATGTTACTCATGATGGACTTGTTTTAATAGGGCTTCTAGACTAAGACAGACTAGGAGGAAAGTCCTGGCAATCTATTTCTGAAAAATCAGCCAGTTAAACCCTGTAGATCATAACAGTACATTGTCTGACTTGCTTGCTTTAGACACATCATCAGTGGGTATTAATCACTTAAAGAAGGTATAGTATTTAGTGGAGTAGAGGGTTAGTGAGATGTGGCAAATACTTGGTGTGATGGATTGGCCCAATAGCCTCAACAGTGGACTCGAACATACTGACGAGAGTGAAGCAGGGTTGAGCCACGTTTTGTTCCGTGGTACCTGAGGGGTCATAGTTGACTCCACAGCAGCTAACAACAGCAAAACAGAAGTTCAGGGCTAATAAGAGACCCAAGCAAATGGGACAAGGAAAAAGCAGATACTAGGAAATAGTGGGAAAATGGTGGGCAAAATTAAACCAGGCTTCTGGCATCTACTCTATTAAAAAAGTATATGACAGATGCTAATACCAACCAGTGTGTCCACAATACTGCAATACCATTAACACCAAACACCAGGCTACAGATAAACACATAAACACCTGAGAGGATCAGATGGGGGTCAGTGAACAGGAGTATACTCTAGACCAAGAATAGATTCAGTGCAGGCTAATCTTGCACAGATACCAGTGATACAAAATACCTGCAATCCTTACAGAAACAACAGAAGACAGACATAGAGCAATCCCTCACAGACATCCAGACACTATAGGCGAGACATCCAATGGATCTATCATCTCAGGATCATGGTACTAGGGGACACCAGACTCAAACTGGCACAACAAAATACATAAAAATCTTGTTCCTCATCCTACATTGGTGAGTAGCAACTGGGGTCTTAAAGGCTTTCAAGTGGCCATCTAAGAGGCAGCTATTGGTCTCCTATCGTCAGAAGCGAAGAAGAGTGAAAAAAAAAAAGGGCATTTGGAAGCAATCAGCCCTAGGACATGATGGCCCCTCAAAATCAGAAGAACTAGATGGTACCCAGCTACCAATGCCAAACACTCAAGAAAGGAGAAAAACTGGAGATCCTGGATAGAGTAGAAGGAAAAAGGTGGAATAAAATCCAAAAACTCAATGATGACCAGAATTACTGGTCAGATGGAGTCTGGTGAGACAACCCCCCCCACCACCACCACCAATACTATGGCCCTGGGATGCTTTCTGGGCCTGGAATAAAACTCACTCCCAGGGGCTGGCTCTCAGCCCAGTAGTAAACAAGATGTACGCACAGACCACTCAACCCAGGGGAGCGCACCCACATACTCTATGGACATGCATCCCTTGGAGCAATGGACCATGGGGTACCAGAGGGGCAACATTTGCATGGAGGAAATGCAGGACACACAGGAGTATAAAACTATGAGGGGCATGGCAGGGGGTTACTGAGCAGGGAGGGGAGGAGACTGGTTAGGGTTGGGGATGGTGAATGGGGAGTGAAACAAAATGTACATGTAATGTTGAATGCAAAACAAACTCTGCTATGTAAACTTGAGCCTAAAGCACAATAAATAAATAAGTAAACAGCAGAAGGTAGGATGTTTGCCAATATCATACATGTTTGTACAATGTATCAAACCAAACCAAACTCACTGCTATCAAGTCAATTCACACAATGTATAGATTTGAGAAAAATATCTAATTTCACTATTGATTTAACTTGTAATGTTCCTAGTGTCCTGAAATCATAATTTAGAAAATTGCCTGCTAGCTATTTGCATGGTGAAAGAACACTCTAGCCTTCCATTTGACTAGGATGATAGATGCGATACTACCTAGAAACACATGAGACCCAGAGTGAGACGTTGTTGTTGTTGTTATGTGCTGTCGAGTTGGACCCGACTCATAGTGACCCCTCCTTGGGTTTCTGAGGCAGTATCACTACAGAAGTAGATTGCCCAATCTTCCTTCCGAGGAGTGGCTGATGGGTTTGAACCAACAACCTTCTGGTTAACAGTCAAATGCCTTAGGCACTACGCTACCAGAGCTCCCAGAGTGAGACGAGCCTTCTCTTATTCTGAGTGCCACTTAGACCCCTGACTTTATTTCAGTAAGCAGAACATGTCTGCTCAGTACATAATTTTCTTTTTAAATATCAAGGTAGTTTTTGTTCTATAACACATTTTCCACGTATACATACGACTATGAAAAGAAAGACTTACATGATTGTTCTATTTATTTCCCTTAGAATCAGTTTTTCATAAGCTGTGCTGATGACAAAGTCGTTTTCAACAAGGTTGGTGATGCCATTGCCCAGAGGATACTTAAAGCTCACAGGTAATATTTTTAGCATTTCAGTTGGAGCTGTTATTGCAGATGTTCTTGTATTTACTGCAAAAAGGACTTTTGAAAGCCCATTTTGAAGTGTGACATTTGCTAGGAGTCATGAATTAATTTGGTTTAACTGGCAGTAGGTTAGTGATTCCTTAAATCTGGGTCAGTTGCTGAGAATGTTTGTGTCCATTTTGGGGGTAATCTGAATTCTTCCAGGGTATGGTCATTTTTCTCCCGGCGTTGTCTCTTTCCCATGCATTACCTTTAGGATTTGCTTTATTTAATGACAGAGTGTGAGCTGTGTTCACTTAAAATAACAAAGTGAAATAACTATACTAGTTTTTTATGGATTATATTTAAATGCTTGTTATCCACTGTCTTATTTCTTCAGCCCATATTTTCTTTTTATAACAACATTATTGATATAATTTATATATCATCCAATTCACTCACTTAAAGTGTAAAGTTCAATGGTTTTTATTATATCCACAGAGTTATATAATAAACACTAATCAGTTTTATAACATTTTAAATACCCCAAAAGAAACCCTGTATCCATTAGTAGTCACTCTCTATTTCCTCCTAACCCATCCAGCCCTTGTCAGCTAATAATCCATTCTGTCTCTGTAGATTTGCCTGGAACATTTCATATAAACGGAATCGTACGATGTGTGGTCTTTTACTTAGCATAATGTTTATAAGGTCCATCCACATTTTAACATCAGTGCTTCCTTACTTTTTATTGCCAAATAAAATTCCATTGTATAGGTATACCACATTTTGTTTATCCATTTGTCAATTGATGGACATTGTGGTGGTTTTCACTTTTTTGCTATTACCAATAATTTGCTATCAATATTCACGAGCAAGTTTTTATGTGGATACATGTTTTCATTTCTCTAGAGGTGGAATTGCTGGGTTATATAATAACTGTGTTTAACATTTTGAGGAACTGCCAGACTGTTTTCAAAGTGGTGACACCATTTCACAGTCCCACAAGCAGTGTATAAGGGTTCCAATTTCTCCATGTCTCACTAATACGTGTTATTATCTGTCTTTTTGATTATAGCCATCTAGTGAATGTGAAGTGGCATCTCATTGTGGTTTTGAATTGCATTTCCCTAATTACTAATGATACTGAGCATCTTCTTATGTGGCCATTTGTATATCATCTTTGAAGAAATGTCTGTTTAGGTCCTTTGCCCATTTTTGAAGTGGGTCATTTATCTTTCTATTTTTGAGTTATCAGAGTTCTTTATTTAATCTGGATACAAGTCTCATGTCAGACATATGACTTGCAAATATTTTCTCCCATTAAGTGGATTGTTTTTTCACTTTCTTAATGGTGTCTTTTGATGCTAAGTTTTTAACTTGGATAAAATCCAATCTATTTTTTTTTCTTTTGGTTTCTTGTACTTTTGTTATCATACTGAAGAAACCATCACCAAATCTTTTATGAATCTTGTAGTTTTAGCTCTTACATTTGGGTCTTTGATCTATCTTGAGTTACTTTTTATATATGGTGTGAGGTAAGGGTCCAAGTATATTCTTCTGCTTGTGGATATCCAGTTGTCCCAGCACCATTTGTTGAGAAGACTGTTATTTTCCCATTGAACCATCTTGGCATCTAGGTCTATTTCTTTTGATGGTTGGTTTCAGCTCTGTCTAAAAGCAGCAAAATAAACGAATAGAATTATTATTATTTCAATTCACTGGATACATGCAGTGGAGAGAGAATGTTAATCACGTAACATATTTGGGATTAGACCTTTTTTGGCTTTCAGTGTCATGTGGAGCTTTGGTGTCTTTCTTTCACATAATGTAGAGATTTTTAGACTTAAGAACATTTTATAACAGTAACTATCAGCATTTTATATGACTCATAATTTAATTTTATTGAATCTTCAAAACTACTCTTGAAAGTAGATCATGTCATTTTTATTATTGTTATTATTGTTGTTTTTGTTACTATTCCCATTTTTGGAGCTAAAAACTGAGAATCAAGAAGTTATGTAGGATTTGTCTAAGCTACTGAAAACAATAGGCAAAAATGGCTTTGAGACCACATCTTAGATCCAATGTCCTCCCCCCTGTACCATTTAACTCCAATCCGTTGATGAGTAGAATTGAAGACCTCTTCAGTATTGCCCGAAACTGAGTGATGTGTATTGGGCCTTGGTACTCCCTTCTACCCATTAACCAGTCATTTGATGCTAGCTGACTCCAGGAAGTGGCTGTGACCTTGGACAAGACAGTTCCCTTTGGTCCATAGGGGCAATTCCTGGTAAAGACGTCTGCTATAAGTGAGTAGTCATTGGCCAACATTCTCAGCAGCAGAAGGAATAACTCTTGTGATCCAATGGTGGGGGAATCTGGGCAGCCCACAACAACATCTACCACATCCTGAGGGTGTACAATAGATCTCATCCTTGACTACACATCAAAATTACCATTGGGCCTTTACAGAAATACAGATAGCTTAACCCTATTCCAGACTTACAGGATCAGAATCTCCTGGAATGGAGCCTTGTTGTTGTTGTTGTTATGTGCCGTCGAGTCGGCCCCGACTCATAGCGACCCCTCCTTGGGTTTTCAAGGCAGTATCACTACGGAAGTAGGATTGCCCAACCTTCCTTCCGAGGAGTGGCTGGTGGGTTTGAACCGCCAGCCTTCTGGTTAGCAGTCAAGTGCCTTAGGCACTAGGCTACCAGAGCTCCTAGCCTAGGCACCTGTATTTTATAGCTCTCCACAGGTGACTCCAGAGCACAGCCAAGATTGTTTAGTAATCACCTAGAACAGTGTATATAGTAATAAATATTAATGATGGTGTGTGCTTTTACGGATGACCTTATCCTTTGCCTTCTCATGTAGTTTTTTTTTTTTTTTTTTTTAAAGAAACCCATCATAGGATCTGTTTTGAGATGACTTAAACACAGTCTTATTTATAGTTAAACATACATACACATAGAGAGATTTCCTGCATCCTTGCCAGTGCCTCAGTTCTATAGGGTAATTTATGTCTAATTTATAAAAAATGTCATTGTCTTTCAACTCTTGCATTTCTTGATAACAGGTGTGTCTGCTTTATCTATAAAGCACATTTAGCAAGAGAAATTTTCATGAAATTGAAAAAAGTCACAGAAATGTATTAGCTTGACAAATGACCTTATTGAGCTGATCAATGAATCATTAATTTTTAGGACTGTGATCAGCTAATAAATAGAGTATGGTGAAACTCAGCTTCCCTTATTCCAGTTATTAATTAGTTCCCTATAATAAATGGTTTAATAAGTACTTGTAGGATTTGGGAGGTTCTTTTTTCCCATCATCATTCTTTTACTGTTGTTATTATTATTTAACTTTTTATTGTGATTTGGTTGAAATTTTACAAAGCAGATTCATTTTCCATTCCAGAGTTAATACACATTTTCTTTTGGGACATTGATTACAATCCTCACAATGTAACAGTTCTCTCCCCGCTTTCTCCCTGTGGTTACCCTTTCCCTCTGTCATTCTTACCTATGCATTCCTGCCTCCCTAGCTTTCTCCCTGAGCAAATGTTGCCCTTCTCATCTCCCGTGGTTGATTGTTCTAAGGAGTGTTCAGCTCATAGGCCTATCTATTGTTTGGCTGAGAGTTAAGCCACAGGAGTGAGTCCAATTCCAGACCCGAGGGGTGACTCAGGCCATGGTTTCAGGAGTTTCGTTGGTCTCTGTCTGACCAGTAATCCTGGTCTTTTTTATGGTTTTGAACTTTGTTCCACATTTTTCTCCCACTCTATCCAGGATCTCCAGTTTTGATCCCTTTCTGAGTGGTTAGCATTGGTATCCAGGCACCATCTAATTCTTCTGGTGTCAGGGTTGTATAGGGTGAGATTCCCATGGTCCATTAGTCTTTGGACTAATTGCTTCCATGCATCTTTGATTTTCCTCTTTGCTTCAGACAAGGATAGATTGATAGTTGCATCTTAGGTGGCCACTTTCAAACCTTTAAGACCCAGTCACTACTCACCAAAGCAGGATGTAGAACAATGTTTTTGTGTAGTATGTTATGCCAATTGAAGTTGGTGTCCTCTGTGACCATGGTCCTGAGCCCACAAGCCCAGTGACTCACTCCTGGAAGGTGTTTGGTTGGGACTGAGAAATCCTAACTTTGTCCCCTGTTATCTCTATAATATATGTGAACATTTTTATAGTGCACACAAATACATATGTAGGAATGTCATCTGCCAAACATTCAAAATATATCCATGGTCGTCTTGGGTATATGTGCATTTGCCTATCCATGCTTAATCTTCTTGCCTGTCTACCCATTTAACCACCCATAGATTAGTGTTTGTTAGTATTGTGTATGTAATAGTGTTTACCTTTGTTGTCTGTACCTCTTGTGTACCAACCTATGTCCCTCTTTTCCTTAGTGTTACTGTGCTGATCAATGCTTTTGTTATGTTGCCTTTCCCTTTACCCAAATCAACACCTATCTTTTCACTAACAGCAATTTTCTCTCCCCTCTCCTCCCACTCCTGGTAACCAACAGAGAAAATTTCTTACCCTGTGTAAACTTTTCCTTTATTTCTTTTTATAGTAACAGACTCATACAATATTTGTCCTTCTATGATTGACTTATTTCACTCAGTATAATGTCCTCCATGTCACTCAGTATAATGTTATGAAGTGATTCACGAATTCATTATTCTTTAATATTTCAAAGTACTCCATTGTATGTACATACCATAGTTTGGTTATCCATTTATCCATTGATGGCCACTTAGGTTGTTTCCATCTCTTTGCTATTGTGAATAGGGCTGTGGTGAACATGGGTGTGCATACATCTATTCTTGTCTGAGATCTCACCTGTGAATTTGTTTTTTGAGTGGGAATCCTGAAAGTATATATTTTTTAACATATTAATTTGTCTTTAAAATTTTTAACTTCTTCCAAAATCATAAAATCACAGTATTTTAGGGCTGGAAGGAACTTTAAGATGTTTTCTGATTGATCACT